GAATCGTACAACGTACCCTGTACTGTCTTAGTAAATCTAACAACGTACCGTACTGTCTTAGTGAATCTAACAACGTACCGTGTACTGTCTTAGGCAATCTAACAACGTGCCATGTACTGTCTTTCATGAATCTAACAACGTACCGAACTGTCTTAGTGAATCTAACAACGTACCGAACTGTCGTAGTGAATCTAACAACGTACCCTGTACTGTCTTAGTGAATGTAACAACGTACTGTACTGTCTTAGTGAATCTAACAACGTACCCTGTACTGTCTTAGTGAATCTAACAACGTACCCTGTACTGACTTAGTGAATCTAACAACGTACCCTGTACTGTCTTAGTGAATCTAACAACGTACCCTGTACTGTCTGATTGTATTTAACAACGTACCCTCTACTGTCTTAGTGAATCTAACAACGTACCGAACTGTGTTAGTTTTTCTAACAACGTACCCTGTACTGACTTAGTGAATCTAACAACGTACCCTGTACGGTCTTAGTGAATCTAACAACGTATCCTGTACTGTCTTAGTGGATCTAACAACGTACCCTGTACTGTCTTAGTGAATCTAACAACGTACCCTGTACTGACTTAGTGAATCTAACACCGTACCGTACTGTCTTAGTGAATCTAACAAAGTACCGTGTACTGTCTTAGTGAATGTAACAACGTATCGTACTATCTTTGTGAATCTAACAACGTACCCTTTACTGTCTTAGTGATTCTAACAAAGGACTGTACTGAATTAGTGAATCTAACAACGAACCCTACTATCTTAGTGAATCTAACAACGTACCGTACTATCTTAGTGAATCTAACAACGTACCCTGTACTGTCTTAGTGATTCTACAACGTACCCTGTACTGTCTTAGTGAATTTAACAACGTACCCTGTACTGTCTTAGTGAATCTAACAACGTACCGTACTGTCTTAGTGAATCTAAGAACGTACCCTGTACTGTCTTAGTGAATCTAACAACGTATCCTGTACTGTCTTCGTAAATCTAACAACGTACCCTGTACTGTCTTAGTGAATCTAAGAACGCACCCTGTACTGTCTTGGTGAATCTAACAACGTACAGTACTGTCTTAGTGAATCTAACAACGTACCCTGTACTGTCTTAGTGATTCTAACAACGTACCGAAATGTCTTAGTGTATCTAACAACGTACCGAACTATCTTAGTGAATCTAACAACGTACCGAAATGTCTTAGTGTATCTAACAACGTACCGAACTGTCTTAGTGAATCTAACAACGTACCAAAATGTCTTAGTGTATCTAACAACGTACCGAACTGGCTTAGTTAATCTAACAACGTACCCTGTACTGTCTTAGTGAATCTAGCAACGTACCGAACTGTCTTAGTGAATCTAACAAAGTACCGTGTACTGTCTTAGTGAATCTAACAACGTACCGAACATTCTAAGTGAATCTAACAACGTACCCTGTAATGCCTTAGTGAATCTAACAACGTACTGTACTGTCTTAGTGAATGTAACAACGTTACCGAATCTAACAACGTACCGAACTGTCTTAATGAATCTAACAACGTAAAGAACTGTCGTAGTGAATCTAACAACGTACCCTGTACTGTTTTAGTGAATCTAACAACGTACCGTACTGTCTTACTGAATCTAACAACGTACCCTGTACTGTCTTAGTGAATCTAACAACGTACCGAACTGTAATAGTGAATCTTACAACGTACCCTGTACTGTCTTAGTAAATCTAACAACGTACCGTACTGTCTTAGTGAATCTAACAACGTACCGTGTACTGTCTTAGGCAATCTAACAACGTACCATGTACTGTCTTTCATGAATCTAACAACGTACCGAACTGTCTTAGTGAATCTAACAACGTACCGAACTGTCGTAGTGAATCTAACAACGTACCCTGTACTGTCTTTGTTAATCTAATACCGTACCCTGTACTGTCTTAGTGAATCTAACAACGTACCGAACTATCTTAGTGAATCTAACAACATACCCTGTACTGTCTTAGTGAATCTAACAATGTACCGTACTGTCTTAGTGAATCTAACAACGTACGCTGTACTGTCTTAGTAAATCTAACAACGTACCCTTTACTGTCTTAGTAAATCTAACAACGTACCCTGTACTGTCTTAGTGAATCTAACAACGTACTGTACTGTCTTAGTGAATGTAACAACGTACCCTGTACTGTCTTAGTGAATCTAACAACGTACCGTACTGTCTTAGTGAATCTAACAATGTACCGTACTGTCTTAGTGAATCTAACAACGTACCCTGTACTGTCTTAGTGAATCTAACAACGTACCCTGTACTGTCTTAGTGAATCTAACAACTTACTGTACTGTCTTAGTGAATCTAACAACGTACCCTGTACTGTCTTAGTGAATCTAACAACGTATCCTGTACTGTCTTAGTGGATCTAACAACGTACCCTGTACTGTGTTAGTGAATCTAACAACGTACCCTGTACTGTCTTAGTGAATCTAACAACGTACCCTGTACTGACTTAGTGAATCTAACAACGTACCCTGTACGGTCTTAGTGAATCTAACAACGTACACTGTACTGTCTTAGTGAATCTAACAACGTACCCTGTACTGTCTGATTGAATCTAACAACGTACCCTCTACTGTCTTAGTGAATCTAACAACGTACCGAACTGTGTTAATGAATCTAACAACGTACCCTGTACTGTTTTAGTGAATCTAACAACGTACCGTACTGTCTTAGTGAATCTAACAACTTAGCCTGTACTGTCTTAGTGAATCTAACAACGTACCTTGTACTGTCTTAGTGAATGTAACAACGTACCTTGTACTGTCTTAGTGAATGTAACAACGTACTGTACTGTCTTAGTGAATCTAACAACGTACCCTGTACTGTCTTAGTGAATCTAACAACGTACCCTGTACTGACTTAGTGAATCTAACAACGTACCCTGTACGGTCTTAGTGAATCTAACAACGTACCCTGTACTGTCTTAGTGAATCTAACAACGTACCCTGTACTGTCTTAGTGAATCTAACAACTTACTGTACTGTCTTAGTGAATCTAACAACGTACCCTGTACTGTCTTAGTGAATCTAACAACGTATCCTGTACTGTCTTAGTGGATCTAACAACGTACCCTGTACTGTGTTAGTGAATCTAACAACGTACCCTGTACTGTCTTAGTGAATCTAACAACGTACCCTGTACTGACTTAGTGAATCTAACAACGTACCCTGTACGGTCTTAGTGAATCTAACAACGTACACTGTACTGTCTTAGTGAATCTAACAACGTACCCTGTACTGTCTGATTGAATCTAACAACGTACCCTCTACTGTCTTAGTGAATCTAACAACGTACCGAACTGTGTTAATGAATCTAACAACGTACCCTGTACTGTTTTAGTGAATCTAACAACGTACCGTACTGTCTTAGTGAATCTAACAACTTAGCCTGTACTGTCTTAGTGAATCTAACAACGTAGCCTGTACTGTCTTAGTGAATCTAACAACGTACCCTCTACTGTCTTAGTGAATCTAACAACGTACCGTACTGTCTTACTGAATCAAACAACGTACCCTGTACTGTCTTAGTGAATCTAACAACGTACCGAACTGTAATAGTGAATCGTACAACGTACCCTGTACTGTCTTAGTAAATCTAACAACGTACCGTACTGTCTTAGTGAATCTAACAACGTACCGTGTACTGTCTTAGGCAATCTAACAACGTGCCATGTACTGTCTTTCATGAATCTAACAACGTACCGAACTGTCTTAGTGAATCTAACAACGTACCGAACTGTCGTAGTGAATCTAACAACGTACCCTGTACTGTCTTAGTGAATGTAACAACGTACTGTACTGTCTTAGTGAATCTAACAACGTACCCTGTACTGTCTTAGTGAATCTAACAACGTACCCTGTACTGACTTAGTGAATCTAACAACGTACCCTGTACTGTCTTAGTGAATCTAACAACGTACCCTGTACTGTCTGATTGAATTTAACAACGTACCCTCTACTGTCTTAGTGAATCTAACAACGTACCGAACTGTGTTAGTTTTTCTAACAACGTACCCTGTACTGACTTAGTGAATCTAACAACGTACCCTGTACGGTCTTAGTGAATCTAACAACGTATCCTGTACTGTCTTAGTGGATCTAACAACGTACCCTGTACTGTCTTAGTGAATCTAACAACGTACCCTGTACTGACTTAGTGAATCTAACACCGTACCGTACTGTCTTAGTGAATCTAACAAAGTACCGTGTACTGTCTTAGTGAATGTAACAACGTATCGTACTATCTTTGTGAATCTAACAACGTACCCTTTACTGTCTTAGTGATTCTAACAAAGGACTGTACTGAATTAGTGAATCTAACAACGAACCCTACTATCTTAGTGAATCTAACAACGTACCGTACTATCTTAGTGAATCTAACAACGTACCCTGTACTGTCTTAGTGATTCTACAACGTACCCTGTACTGTCTTAGTGAATTTAACAACGTACCCTGTACTGTCTTAGTGAATCTAACAACGTACCGTACTGTCTTAGTGAATCTAAGAACGTACCCTGTACTGTCTTAGTGAATCTAACAACGTATCCTGTACTGTCTTCGTAAATCTAACAACGTACCCTGTACTGTCTTAGTGAATCTAAGAACGCACCCTGTACTGTCTTGGTGAATCTAACAACGTACAGTACTGTCTTAGTGAATCTAACAACGTACCCTGTACTGTCTTAGTGATTCTAACAACGTACCGAAATGTCTTAGTGTATCTAACAACGTACCGAACTATCTTAGTGAATCTAACAACGTACCGAAATGTCTTAGTGTATCTAACAACGTACCGAACTGTCTTAGTGAATCTAACAACGTACCAAAATGTCTTAGTGTATCTAACAACGTACCGAACTGTCTTAGTTAATCTAACAACGTACCCTGTACTGTCTTAGTGAATCTAGCAACGTACCGAACTGTCTTAGTGAATCTAACAAAGTACCGTGTACTGTCTTAGTGAATCTAACAACGTACCGAACATTCTAAGTGAATCTAACAACGTACCCTGTAATGCCTTAGTGAATCTAACAACGTACTGTACTGTCTTAGTGAATGTAACAACGTACCGAATCTAACAACGTACCGAACTGTCTTAATGAATCTAACAACGTAAAGAACTGTCGTAGTGAATCTAACAACGTACCCTGTACTGTTTTAGTGAATCTAACAACGTACCGTACTGTCTTACTGAATCTAACAACGTACCCTGTACTGTCTTAGTGAATCTAACAACGTACCGAACTGTAATAGTGAATCTTACAACGTACCCTGTACTGTCTTAGTAAATCTAACAACGTACCGTACTGTCTTAGTGAATCTAACAACGTACCGTGTACTGTCTTAGGCAATCTAACAACGTACCATGTACTGTCTTTCATGAATCTAACAACGTACCGAACTGTCTTAGTGAATCTAACAACGTACCGAACTGTCGTAGTGAATCTAACAACGTACCCTGTACTGTCTTTGTTAATCTAATACCGTACCCTGTACTGTCTTAGTGAATCTAACAACGTACCGAACTATCTTAGTGAATCTAACAACATACCCTGTACTGTCTTAGTGAATCTAACAATGTACCGTACTGTCTTAGTGAATCTAACAACGTACGCTGTACTGTCTTAGTAAATCTAACAACGTACCCTTTACTGTCTTAGTAAATCTAACAACGTACCCTGTACTGTCTTAGTGAATCTAACAACGTACTGTACTGTCTTAGTGAATGTAACAACGTACCCTGTACTGTCTTAGTGAATCTAACAACGTACCGTACTGTCTTAGTGAATCTAACAATGTACCGTACTGTCTTAGTGAATCTAACAACGTACCCTGTACTGTCTTAGTGAATCTAACAACGTACCCTGTACTGTCTTAGTGAATCTAACAACTTACTGTACTGTCTTAGTGAATCTAACAACGTACCCTGTACTGTCTTAGTGAATCTAACAACGTATCCTGTACTGTCTTAGTGGATCTAACAACGTACCCTGTACTGTGTTAGTGAATCTAACAACGTACCCTGTACTGTCTTAGTGAATCTAACAACGTACCCTGTACTGACTTAGTGAATCTAACAACGTACCCTGTACGGTCTTAGTGAATCTAACAACGTACACTGTACTGTCTTAGTGAATCTAACAACGTACCCTGTACTGTCTGATTGAATCTAACAACGTACCCTCTACTGTCTTAGTGAATCTAACAACGTACCGAACTGTGTTAATGAATCTAACAACGTACCCTGTACTGTTTTAGTGAATCTAACAACGTACCGTACTGTCTTAGTGAATCTAACAACTTAACCTGTACTGTCTTAGTGAATCTAACAACGTAGCCTGTACTGTCTTAGTGAATCTAACAACGTACCTTGTACTGTCTTAGTGAATGTAACAACGTACTGTACTGTCTTAGTGAATCTAACAACGTACACCGGAACTGTCTTAGTGAATCTAACAACGTACCCTGTACTGACTTAGTGAATCTAACAACGTACCCTGTACGGTCTTAGTGAATCTAACAACGTACCCTGTACTGTCTTAGTGAATCTAACAACGTACCCTGTACTGTCTTAGTGAATCTAACAACTTACTGTACTGTCTTAGTGAATCTAACAACGTACCCTGTACTGTCTTAGTGAATCTAACAACGTATCCTGTACTGTCTTAGTGGATCTAACAACGTACCCTGTACTGTGTTAGTGAATCTAACAACGTACCCTGTACTGTCTTAGTGAATCTAACAACGTACCCTGTACTGACTTAGTGAATCTAACAACGTACCCTGTACGGTCTTAGTGAATCTAACAACGTACACTGTACTGTCTTAGTGAATCTAACAACGTACCCTGTACTGTCTGATTGAATCTAACAACGTACCCTCTACTGTCTTAGTGAATCTAACAACGTACCGAACTGTGTTAATGAATCTAACAACGTACCCTGTACTGTTTTAGTGAATCTAACAACGTACCGTACTGTCTTAGTGAATCTAACAACTTAGCCTGTACTGTCTTAGTGAATCTAACAACGTAGCCTGTACTGTCTTAGTGAATCTAACAACGTACCTTGTACTGTCTTAGTGAATGTAACAACGTACTGTACTGTCTTAGTGAATCTAACAACGTACCCTGTACTGTCTTAGTGAATCTAACAACGTACCCTGTACTGACTTAGTGAATCTAACAACGTACCCTGTACGGTCTTAGTGAATCTAACAACGTACCCTGTACTGTCTGATTAAATCTAACAACGTACCCTGTACTGTCTTAGTAAATCTAACAACGTACCCTGTACTGTCTTAGTGAATCTAACAACGTACTGTACTGTCTTAGTGAATGTAACAACGTACCCTGTACTGTCTTAGTGAATCTAACAACGTACCGTACTTTCTTAGTGAATCAATGTACCGTACTGTCTTAGTGAATCTAACAACGTACCCTGTACTGTCTTAGTGAATCTAACAACGTACCCTGTACTGTCTTAGTAAATCTAATAACGTACTGTACTGTCTTAGTGAATCTAACAACGTACCCTGTACTGTCTTAGTGAATCTAACAACGTATCCTGTACTGTCTTAGTGGATCTAACAACGTACCCTGTACTGTCTTAGTGAATCTAACAACGTACCCTGTACTGTCTTAGTGAATCTAACAACGTACCCTGTACTGTCTTAGTGAATCTAACAACGTAGCCTGTACTGTCTTAGTGAATCTAACAACGTACCCTGTACTGTCTTAGTGAATCTAACAACGTACCGTACTGTCTTAGTGAATCTAACAACGTACCGTACTGTCTTAGTGAATCTAACAACGTACCGTACTGTCTTAGTGAATCTAACAACGTACCCTGTACTGTCTTAGTGAATCTAACAACGTACCCTGTACTGTCTTAGTGAATCTAACAACGTACCGTACTGTCTTAGTGAATCTAACAACGTACCCTGTACTGTCTTAGTGAATCTAACAACGTACCGTACTGTCTTAGTGAATCTAACAACGTACCCTGTACTGTCTTAGTGAATCTAACAACGTACCCTGTACTGTCTTAGTGAATCTAACAACGTAGCCTGTACTGTCTTAGTGAATCTAACAACGTACCGTACTGTCTTAGTGAATCTAACAACATACCGTCCCTTCAGCTGCCCAGTGAACCAACGCTGTTTGCAAGTTGATCATATAGACCAGGACCTTCATGTTTGGTATCTAAAACAAAACACATAAGAGACGTTATACACTTGCATCTAACACAAAAAACATTAGAGAATACAACAATAATGTTCGGTTTTATTATTACGGTATCTAAATACGGGTAATTTTCGTGTGATTGTTATTATAAATGATTTTAAATTAGTTTTAAATGTGTCGCTTAAGAAAGCTGTTGTGTGTCTAGGGCTTATTGTGTCGCTGTGGTGTGTCTAGGGTTAATTGTGTCTGTGGTGTGTCTAGGGCTAATTGTGTCGGTGGTGTGTCTAGGGCTAATTGTGTCGGTGGTGTGTCTATGGCTTATTGTGTCTCTGGTGTGTCTAGGGCTAATTGTGTCGGTGGTGTGTCTAGGGCTAATTGTGTCGGTGGTGTGTCTACGGCTAATTGTGTCGTTGGTGTGTCTAGGCCTAATTGTGTCTGTGGTGTGTCTAGGGCTAATTGTGTCGGTGGTGTGTCTAGGGCTAATTTTGTCTGTGGTGTGTCTATGGCTAATTGTGTCTGTGGTGTGTCTTGGGCTAATTGTGTCGGTGTTGCGTCTAGGGCTAATTGTTTCTGTGGTGTGTCTAGGGCTAATTGTGTCTGTGGTGTGTCTAGGGCTAATTTTGTCTGTGGTGTGTCTATGGCTAATTGTGTCTGTGGTGTGTCTTGGGCTAATTGTGTCGGTGTTGCGTCTAGGGCTAATTGTGTCGGTGGTGTGTCTAGGGCTAATTGTTTCTGTGGTGTGTCTAGGGCTAATTGTGTCTGTGGTGTGTCTAGGGCTAATTGTTGCTGTGGTGTGTCTAGGGCTAGTTGTGTCTGTGGTGTGTCTAGGGCTAGTTGTCGCTGTGGTGTGTCTAGGGCTAGTTGTCGCTGTGGTGTGTCTAGGGCTAGTTGTGTCTGTGGTGTGTCTAGGGCTAATTGTGTCGGTGGTGTGTCTAGGGCTAATTTTGTCTGTGGTGTGTCTATGGCTAATTGTGTCTGTGGTGTGTCTTGGGCTAATTGTGTAGGTGTTGTGTCTAGGGCTAATTGTGTCTGTGGTGTGTCTAGGGCTAATTGTGTCTGTGGCGTGTCTAGGGCTAATTGTGTCTGTGGTGTGTCTAGGGCTAATTGTGTCGGTGGTGTGTCTAGGGCTAATTGTGTCTGTGGTGTGTCTAGGGCTAATTGTCGCTGTGGAGCCACATGTTAGAGATTTATTTGTTTGGTGCCACATGTCTACTGAGAGTCTACCGAGAGTCTACCTAGAATCTACCGAGAGTCTACTGATAGTCTACAGAGAGTCTACCGAGAGTCTATCGAGAGTCTACTGAGAGTCTACTGAGAGTCTACTGAGAGTCTACTGAGAGTCTACTGAGAGTCTATCAAGAGTCTACTGAGAGTCTACCAAGAGTCTATCGAGAGTCTACTGAGAGTCTACTGAGAGTCTACTGAGAGTCTACCGAGAGTCTACTAAGAGTCTACTGAGAGTCTACCGAAAGTCTACCGAGAGTCTACCGAGAGTCTACCGAGAGTCTACCGAGAGTCTACCGAGAGTCTACTGAGAGTCTACCAAGAGTCTACTGAGAGTCTACTGAGTCTACTGAGAGTCTACTGAGAGTCTACCGAAACTCTACCGAGAGTCTACCGAGAGTATATCGAGAGTCTACTGAGAGTCTACCGAGAGTCTACCGAGAGTCTACTGAGAGTCTACTGAGAGTCTACTGAGAGTCTACTGAGAGTCTACTGAGAGTCTACTGAGAGTCTATCGAGAGTCTACTGATAGTCTACTGAGAGTCTGCTGATAGTCTACTGAGAGTCTACCGAGAATCTACCGAGAGTCTACTGATAGTCTACTGAGAGTCTACTGAGAGTCTACTGAGAGCCTACTGAGAGTCTACTGAGAGTCTACTGAGAGTCTACTGAGAGTCTACTGAGTCTACTGAGAGTCTACTGAGAGTCTACTGAGAGTCTACTGAGAGTCTACTGAGAGTCTACTGAGAGTCTACTGAGAGTCTACTGAGAGTCTACTGAGAGTCTACTGAGTCTACTGAGAGCCTACTGAACTGGCACGAGGATGCCAATTACTATCCAAAGAAAATTTCAATGGACTGTGCATAAAGGCTACGACGTCACTGGATGGAGTACATGACAGACTGTATGGATGGTGGGGTGCTGATGGTGATGGTGATGGTGGTGGTGGTTGTGGTGGTGGTGGTGGTGATGGTGGTGGTGGTGGTGGTGATGATGCTTATGATGATGGTGGTGGTGGTGATAATGGTGGTGGTGATGTTGGTGGTGATGGTGATGGTGGTGGTGCTGATGGTGATGGTGATGGTGGTGGTGGTTGTGGTGGTGGTGGTGGTGGTGATGGTGGTGATGGTGGTGATGGTGGTGATGGTGATGGTGGTGGTGGTGGTGCTGATGGTGATGGTGATGATGGTGGTGGTGGTGGTGGTGATGATGATTATGGATGGGTGCTGATGGTGACGGTGATAATGGTGGTGGTGATGGTGGTGATTATGGTGGTGGTGATGATGATTGTAGTGATGAAGATGATGATGATGATTGTGAATATGATAGGTGAACGGTTACTTGTGATGTATTACGTTATGTAGATGTTTTATTACAGCATGTGCCATAATATCTTACGATCTATGACGGCGCCTAATATTTTTTGATGACATCCAACCGCTTCAGTAAAGTTTTTTTTTATAAGCTCTAGTCCTTTGTTCGTCTAATGAGTATTGATGTGTAACGGTTATGTAGCTACTTTAAATTTTATTGTAAATTCAAAATTGAAAATAAAACGGAATTAACAAGAAACCGTTTTACAGTAGACTGTTCTTGGTTTACCAATACCGTACCGTGTTTTTGTGTGTTAAATGCAATTTACGATACAACACAGCGTGAAGCTACGTGGTGTTATAATATACAAACATGTTTACAAACAATCTTACAACAACTACTGTTGACCTAAACAAACAATCTCACAACTACTGTTGACCTAAACAAGCAATCTTACAACAACTGTTGACCTAAACAAACAATCTCACAACTACTGTTGACCTAAACAAACAATCTCACAACTACTGTTGACCTAAACAAACAATCTCACAACTACTGTTGACCTCAACAAACAATCTCACAACTACTGTTGACCTAAACAAACAATCTCACAACTACTGTTGACCTAAACAAACAATCTTACAACTACTGTTGGCCTAAACTTACAAATGTTAGAGCAGCCCTTATTCTCGGCGCTGTACTGACGACTGTTTGTTCTGCTCCAATCTCGAATGTTGCGTAACAGGCTGTGATCCCAATGGGCTCGGGGTAAATGACCTGCAGATTGCATGGCTCAGGTAGGGTCGGCGATTCGCAGCTCGTGTCCATTTGTGCCTGACCCTCACGCATGCAGCCAATCACCAACGTCAGTAGCGTGCCACGTACCAGCAATGACGTCATCCTGGACACACCTCAAACCACCATGATATACTCTAGACAATATAACAAAACCTCAAACCATCTCGATATACCAGACAATACAACAAAACCTAAAACCATCACGATATACTAGACAATATAACAAAACCACCCTGATATACTGTAGACAATATAACAAAACCTCAAACCACCTCGATATAGTAGACAATATAACAAAACCTCAAACCACCTCGATATAGTAGACAATATAACAAAACCTCAAACCACCTCGATATACTGTAGACAATATAACAAAACCTCAAACCACCTCGATATAGTAGACAATATAACAAAACCTCAAACCACCTCGATATAGTAGACAATATAACAAAACCTCAAACCACCTCGATATACTGTAGACAATATAACAAAACCTCAAACCACCTCGATATAGTAGACAATATAACAAAACCTCAAACCACCTCGATATACTAGACAATATAACAAAACCTCAAACCACCTTGATATACTCTAGACAATATAACAAAACCTCAAACCACCTCGATATACTAGACAATATAACAAAACCTCAAACCACCTCGATATACTAGACAATATAACAAAACCTCAAACCACCTCGATATACTCTAGACAATATAACAAACCTCAAACCACCTCGATATAGTAGACAATATAACAAAACCTCAAACCACCTCGATATACTCTAGACAATATAACAAAACCTCAAACCACCTCGATATAGTAGACAATATAACAAAACCTCAAACCACCTCGATATAGTAGACAATATAACAAAACCTCAAACCACCTCGATATAGTAGACAATATAACAAAACCTCAAACCACCTCGATATAGTAGACAATATAACAAAACCTCAAACCACCTCGATATAGTAGACAATATAACAAAACCTCAAACCACCCTGATATACTGTAGACAATATAACAAAACCTCAAACCACCTCGATATAGTAGACAATATAACAAAACCTCAAACCACCTCGATATAGTAGACAATATAACAAAACCTCAAACCACCCTGATATACTGTAGACAATATAACAAAACCTCAAACCACCTCGATATAGTAGACAATATAACAAAACCTCAAACCACCTCGATATAGTAGACAATATAACAAAACCTCAAACCACCCTGATATACTGTAGACAATATAACAAAACCTCAAACCACCCTGATATACTGTAGACAATATAACAAAACCTCAAACCACCTTGACGTACTAGCAGAGGCGTATCCAGGTTTTCGTTGTAGGGGGAGCGAAAAGAGCAAAAAAAAAGGCGCCGAATTTTTAACACGTTCTATATACGTGTATTATATATATATATCTATAATATAAGCGGGCTGTGTCTGTCCTTCCTTCCTTCCTTCCTTCCTTCCGTCCGTCATCGCTATAGATTTTGGGACTATAAAAGTAAACTACGCACCATGCTGTGCTTTTCAGTGCACCGCAGTGTATTATTATAGGTAATAGAGTAGGGTTTGTTTATATAGAGGCATAGAGCTATTTTATAAATGTCACTGTGTTTACTCTTTTGCATAACTTAAATAAAATATTAAATACACGCACATGGCTAAAACATATTTTAAAAAATCAATGTTAAATATCATTTTCGTTTATATTCCTAGAAAAAATGGATATATTTTTATGAAAGTAGGTCAAAGAAACTAATTAATTCAACTTTTTTTTGGTAATTTTTTGCAAGGGAGGTAATTTGAAAATATATTTAACTCATCAATATCATTCTGTTATTTTTTTGTTTATTACTACCGCATTGATTATTATATGTTAAGGTTCATAATTAAAAGAGAAAAATGTTAAGATTATTAATATTATTTATTATTATTTTCTAAATAGTCTATGATTTCTCAAAAAATCACTATCTTTTTGCTTTTGTTTTTCGGTGTTATGAAAACAGATGGTGAAATTAGACTTTTTGAGAAGAATGGAAAGGCTCTCTCTGAGCGCGGACGTATGGGAAAATGTGTTTTATTTTTTAATATTCAACTCACTCTCAATAATTTAAGTTAATTTTTGTTATTACTTCCACATTGATTATTATATGTTAAGGTTCATAAGTAAAATAGAAAAATGTTATGGTTATTTATATTATTTTCTAATTAGTCTATGATCTCTCAAAATCACCATTTTTTGTTTTTGTTTTTCGGTGTTAACAGATGGTGACATTTTAGGATTATAGTATAGAGAATGCTGAACAGGCTCTTTCTGGGCTCGGACGCCTGGAAAAAGCATGTTTTTCGGTGGTGATTCTAATTACATTACCAATGTGTTTTCTTAGAACCATAAAAGTAAACGCCACTTGCCGTACATTTATTTGCATCGCATTGTTTTATTGTAAGTTATGGAGTAGGATCTATTTATGTGACTTAAATTAAGGCTCTCTTTGGGCGCGGACGCCTAAAAAAGCGTGTTGTTTGGTGGTGATTCTAATGTTGTGGCTGTGGTTGTGTTGTGGTTGTGTTGTAGTTGTGTTGTGGTTGTGTTGTGGTTGTGTTGTGGTTGTGTTGTGGTTGTATTGAGGTTGTGTTGTGGTTGTGTTGTGGTTGTGTTGTGATTGTGTTGTGGTTGTGTTGTGGTTGTGATGTGGTTGTGTTGTGGTTGTGTTGTGGTTGTGTTGAGGTTGTATTGTGGTTGTGTTGTGGTTGTGTTGTGTTGTGTTTTTGTTGTGTTTGTGTTGTGGTTGTGTTGTGGTTGCGTTGTTGTTGTGTTGTGGTTGTGTTGTGTTGTGGTTGTGGTTGTGTTGTGGTTGTGTTTTGTTTGTGTTGTGGTTGTGGTTGTGTTGTGGTTGCGTTGTGGTTGTGTTGTTGTGTTGTGTTTGTGTTGTGGTTGTGTTGTGTTTTGTTTGTATTGTGGTTGTGTTGTGGTTGCGTTGTGGTTGTGTTGTTGTGTTGTGTTGTGGTTGTGTTGTGGTTGTGTTTTGTTTGTGTTTATGTTTGTGTTTGTGTTGTGTTTTTGTTCGTTTTGTTCTGTTCCAAAAATGTACCTTTAAAAAGATTTACCGTGGCGGAGCACAGGATGCAGCTAGTATATATATATATATATATATAATTACTAGCTGTATGTCATTACTTCGCTTTGATGTAAAATAAATTGAAAGTAGCACTCTGAAGAAATAAGAAAAAAAACACACAATGTAGGCCGACAAAGCAAACATTGTATCAATCTAAACAAAAAAGCAAACAAAATATACACTCACTGCAACCAAAAACAGCGAACGTAACACAATCTGTTTTGTTATTCTTGTAAAAAAAATTCTTACATAATAATTCCTGGGAAATTATTTAAGACAAGTGAAATAGGGGAAATAATTACTCTCTTAATATAAATATGTATATATCTACACATTTAATTATAAATGTCAAAACAAATAAATAATTACTTTAAAATTTAATGAAATTATTTAACCCTATTCGTATTAACAAAATGTTTTTGTCTATAATCAGAATTTAATATATCGTCATCATAAATGCTAAAGCTTTACAGCATAAGGAAAGTTTTTGAAATCAGAGTTGGTATAAAACCACGCTTTTCGATAAAAAAGATAAACATTCGGAATAACAGCCTACATTTAACTAAATATTGGTCTTTTTAGTTCAGATAATATATTTTTTAATTTACTACTGCTTCTTTGTGTTCCTTAAAGATTATTTTTTTAACATAGTGATAGGTATGGGTTAGATCACAGTATCAATCACCCACATTTTTACTGTCCGGTCACTTTAGGTCAATTATCCCACCCAGTGTATACCTAGGTGTGACATTAATGTCGCTCTACACAATTGTGGTGGTGAGGTGTGGGGGGGGGGGGGGGATAACCAACTCAGAGTGAACATAGCGTCAGTTTTTAGATGACTGTTCTAAACATACATATATATTACACATGTATACTGATTCAGAAATAGATGTAAATAAGTAGCAGTGGTATTATGACACTATTTTTTTTTTACAGAGGGGTCCATGGGGGAGGGGGGTTGTAACTGTTTCATATAATGTGTAATCGTAATCACTATCGCCCAAACTGTAAGAATACTACTACTTCATCGTGATGACGTTGTTGACCGTGTCAAAATTTCCCCACCACTACGCAGTTTGCTCATAAGTAAATTTAAGTAGAGGTGCCACATCAGTTGTTTTTTTCTGTATTGTAATTTTCAAAAAATTAATCACACGATTCAAACTGTATATATAAATTAATTATGTGTGAAGTTTTATGTATAACATTTCTAATGCAATTATTCGTAAGGAAATACATTATACAGTTGCCTTAAACTTAACACCCCTCTTGCCAAATGGTACTACCGGTAGAGGATTTTTTAAAATTTCAATGCATCGTAATGGTTATTTTTAGAATGGCAAACTGATGCAGCTGTTAATACGTGTTGTAAACGTAGACACTACTAGACTAGTACAATAAAGCTTAATTGCTGCATGAAAAGAAATCTTGTGATTTACATAGATGTGCCGACCAAAAATATTTTTTTACAACAATTTATTGTGTAAAACTTTGAGTTTAAAAAGTTTCCAAAAAGGCGCCACAGTGCTGAAAATGGCCAGAGGGGGAGCGGCAGCTCCCCCTGCCCCCCTCTCCCCTGCGTACTCTTCTGTGTACTAGACAATATAAAAATAATAAAACCTCAAACCACCTCGATATACGCTAGACAATATAACAAAACAACCACACTGACATCCTTTAAACAAATTGATACAACAAATTGATACAACAAATTGATACAAGAAATTGATGCAACAAATTAATACAACATATTAATACAACAAATTGATACACAAAACGATACAACACATTTATACAACACATTTATACAACAAATAAACACAACACATTGATACAACAAATTGATACAACAAATTGATGCAACAAATTGATACAACAAATTGATGCAACAAATTGATACAACAAATTGATACAACAAATTGATGCAACAAATTGATACAACATATTAATACAACAAATTGATACACAAAACGATACAACACATTTATACAACACATTTATACAACAAATAAACACAACACATTGATACAACAAATTGATACAACAAATTGATACAACAAATTGATACAACAAATTGATACAACAAATTGATACAACAAATTGATACAACAAATTGATACAACAAATTTATAAGACAAATAAATACAACACATTGATACAACAAATTGATACAACACTTTATTACAACATATTGATACAACACATTTATACAACAAATTTATACAACAAATTGATACAACTAATTGATACAACAAATTGATACAACAAATCAATACAACAAATTGATACAACAAATTGATAGAAGACATCTATACAACAAACTGATTCAAAAAATGGATACAACAAATTGATACAACAAATTAATACAACTAATTGATACAACAAATTGATACAACAAATTAATACAACACAGTGATGCAACAAATTGATACAAGACATTTATACAACAAATTGATTCAAAAAATGGATACAACAAATTGATACAAGACATTTATGCAACAAATTGATTCAAAAAATGGATACAACAAATTGATACAACACATTTATACAACAAATTGATACTACACAATTTTACAACTAATTGATACAACACTTTAATACAACACATTGATACAACACATCGATACAACAAATTGATACAACAAATTGATACAACAAATTGATACAACAAATTGATAAAACAAATTGACACAACAAATTGATACAACACATTATTACAACTGATTGATACAACACTTTTATACAACACACTGATACAACAAATCGATACAACAAATTCATACAACAAATTGATAAAACAAATTGATAAAACAAATTGATAGAACAAATTGATCCAACACATTTGTACAAAACTTTAATACAACAAATTGATACAACAAATTAATACACCACATTGGTATAACAAATTGGTGCAACACATTGATACAACAAATTGATACAAAAAATTGATACAACACATTTATACAACACATTGATGCAACAAATTGATACAAGACATTTATAAAATAATTGTTTATAAAAATGGATACAACAAATTGATACAACAAATTGATATAACAAATTGATACAACAAATTGATACAACAAATTGATGCAACAAATTGATACAACATATTAATACAACAAATTGATACACAAAACGATACAACAAAAAAACACAACACATTGATACAACAAATTGATACAACAAATTGATACAACAAATTGATACAACAAATTTATACAACAAATAAATACAACACATTGATACAACACATTTATACAACACATTTATACAACACATTGATACAACAAATTGATACAACACATTCATACAACAAATTGATACAACACTTTATTACAACATATTGATACAACACATTTATACAACAAATTTATACAACAAATTGATACAACTAATTGATACAACAAATTGATACAACAAATCAATACAACAAATTGATACAACAAATTGATAGAAAACATTTATACAACAAACTGATTCAAAAAATGGATACAACAAATTGATACAACAAATTAATACAACTAATTGATACAACAAATTGATACAACAAATTAATACAACACAGTGATGCAACAAATTGATACAAGGCCTTTATACAACAAATTGATTCAAAAAATGGATACAACAAATTGATACAAGACATTTATACAACAAATTGATTCAAAAAATGGATACAACAAATTGATACAACACATTTATACAACAAATTGATACAACACATTTTTACAACTAATTGATACAACACTTTAATACAACACATTAATACAACAAATCAATACAACAAATTGATACAACAAATTGATACAACAAATTGATACAACAAATTGATAAAACAAATTGACACAACAAATTGATACAACACATTATTACAACTGATTGATACAACACTTTTATACAACACATTGATACAACAAATCGATACAACAAATTCATACAACAAATTGATAAAACAAATTGATCAAACAAATTGATACAACAAATTGATCCAACACATTTGTACAAAACTTTAATACAACATATTGATACAACAAATTAATACACCACATTGATATAACAAATTGGTACAACAAATTGATACAACAAATTGATACAAAAAATTAATACAACAAATTGATACAACAAATTGATAGAAGACATTTATGCAACAAACTGATTCAAAAAATGGATACAACAAATTGATACAACAAATTAATACAACTAATTGATACAACAAATTGATACAACAAATTAATACAACACAGTGATGCAACAAATTGATACAAGGCCTTTATACAACAAATTGATTCAAAAAATGGATACAACAAATTGATACAAGACATTTATACAACAAATTGATTCAAAAAATGGATACAACAAATTGATACAACACATTTATACAACAAATTGATACAACACATTTTTACAACTAATTGATACAACACTTTAATACAACACATTAATACAACAAATCAATACAACAAATTGATACAACAAATTGATACAACAAATTGATACAACAAATTGATAAAACAAATTGACACAACAAATTGATACAACACATTATTACAACTGATTGATACAACACTTTTATACAACACATTGATACAACAAATCGATACAACAAATTCATACAACAAATTGATAAAACAAATTGATCAAACAAATCGATACAACAAATTGATCCAACACATTTGTACAAAACTTTAATACAACATATTGATACAACAAATTAATACACCACATTGATATAACAAATTGGTACAACAAATTGATACAACAAATTGATACAAAAAATTAATACAACAAATTGATACAACAAATTAATACACCACATTGATATAACAAATTGGTACAACACATTGATACAACAAATTGATACAAAAAATTGATACAACACATTTATACAACACATTGATGCAACAAATTGATACAAGACATTTATAAAAAAATTGATTAAAAAAATGGATACAACAAATTGATACAACAAATTGATATAACAAATTGATACAACAAATTGATACAACACATTGATACAACACATTGATACAACACATTGATACAACAAATCGATAAAACACATTGATACAACAAATTAATACAACACATTGATACAACAAATTGATACAACAAATTGATACAACACATTTATCTCAAGGTAAAAATATCCTTACTCAGACAAAACTATTTCAAGGACAAATTATCTCAGGGACAAAATAACTCAAGGAAAATATCTGGGAAAAAAACGTCTTAAGGAAAAAATATCTCAGACAAAATTATCCTAGGAAAAAAAATATCTCATGAAAAGATCTAGATCTAGATCTAGATCTATCAAGGAAAAAAATATCTCAGGGAAAAAAATCTTAAATTAAATATTTGTCATGTAATAAAAAAAATCACCTCACCAATCAGATTAAAAAGTAACTAAGTACAGGCCGTAGAAAGCCTGCATAAAAATTCAGATAGGATCTTGGAACATCTAAGATTAGGATAGTGATAAAATCTATAAATAGACCGTGAATCAGGGACATGTGTCATCATACTGGTGCGGCCGCGAAATGGATGAGTAGTGTTGACATAAAGGCAAGGAAGTGTCCATTTGCCTAAAAAAAGGTACCTTGATTTAAAAAATTCTAAATTATTTTCAGGTTTAAGCTTTACATACCTGCAAACCGAAATTAGACGATAATTTTAATTATCGTCGATTTTACAGACCGTTATAAACAGCTAAACATGAGGCCTTTAAAAACCTTTAATAGATTCTAGTTTTTATATTTGCTTTAAAAACACGGATAGTTCAAATTGTGCAATTCGGTGCAGATAGCTACTTTCATTCAATATCACCTTGTGGGTTCACTTTTTATTGTGTCTTTGCATACTTTACTAAACATAACTCTAACTGGACACACCTCTAACTGGACACACTTCTAACAGGACACACCTCTAACTGGACACACCTCTAACCGGACATAATTCTAACTGGACACACCTCTAACTGGACACACTTCTAACAGACACACTTCTAACAGGATACACCTCTAACTGGACACACGTCTAATTGATCACACCTCTAACTGGACACACCTCTAACTGGACACACCTCTAATTGATCACGTTTCTAACAGGACACACCTCTAAGTGGACACACTTCTAAAAGGACACACCTCTAACTGGACACACCTCTAACTGGACACACTTCTAACAGGACACATCTCTAACTGGACACACCTCTAACTGGACACACCTCTAACTGGAGACAACTCTAAATGGGCACACCTCTAATTGATCACACCTCTAACTGGACACACCTCTAACTGGACACACCTCTAACTGGGCACACCTCTAATTGATCACACCTCTAACAGGACACACCTCTAACTGGACACACCTCTAATTGATCACACCTCTAACTGGACACACCTCTAACTGGACCCACCTCTAACTGGGCACACCTCTAACTGGACACACCTCTAACTGGGCACACCTCTAACTGGGCACACCTCTAATTGATCACACCTCTAACTGGACACACCTCTAACTGGACACACCTCTAGCTGGACACATCTCGCTTCGTTGATTGACGCTTGAACCTAAATTATATTCACGGCCGCTCTAAATTAAATAAACCGGGAGTGATCTCCCCTAAACTTTCTCGAATATCTATCTATCTATCTATCTATCTATCTATCTATCTATCTATCTATCTATCTATCTATCTATCTATCTATCTATCTATCTATCTATCTATCTATCTATCTATCTATCTATCTATCTATCTATCTATCTATCTATCTATCTATCTATCTATCTATCTATCTATCTATCTATCTATCTATCTATCTATCTATCTATCTATCTATCTATCTATCTATCTATCTATCTATCTATCTATCTATCTATCTATCTATCTATCTATCTATCTATCTATCTATCTATCTATCTATCTATCTATCTATCTATCTATCTATCTATCTATCTATCTATCTATCTATCTATCTATCTATCTATCTATCTATCTATCTATCTATCTATCTATCTATCTATCTATCTATCTATCTATCTATCTATCTATCTATCTATCTATCTATCTATCTAAAAAGCAATGTGTGTGTTTGTCTGTTTGTTTGTCCTTTATGCATTACTACACCTCTCATCACATCGCCGTGAAACTTTGGGAAGTTGTTGTAAATATTCCACGGGAGGGTGCGATTTGTTTTTCTCTATATACGGTATATTAAAAATAAAAGTCGATTTTTACTTTCTCGTATATACGGAGTACCTATAGAGAAAGTCATGTAATCGTGCATAAAAAAATCGAGATTTTTACAAATCTCGACGTTTTACATCTCACTGATACGGAAAAACATAATTTTGCAATCTTGTCCGTATGTCTGTGTGTGTGTCTGTCTGTGTGTGTAAACAGGATATACGATTTTGATAAAATACATATATATATAATTTCATCAACCTAGCTGTAACGGTACTCAAGTTATCTTGTTTACACACAGACAGACAGACACACACACACAGACAGACACACAGACAAGATTGCAAAATTATGTTTTTCCGTATCAGTATGGTGTAAAAGGTCGAGATTTGGAAAAATCTCTATTTTTTCTCTATACTTCGTATATACGAGAAAGTAAAAAATGGTTGACCCAACTCGTTCAACTAGGCCGTCGCCATTGCCTTGTATTTTCTCCCCAATGTCCTACTCTCCAACCCATTTATTTTAAAAATGTGTAGAGTAAAAAAAAACTGAATTTTTTTTGACACTCCGCCATTTTGTTTTCAAGATTGCATGCTGTTAACTGTTAGAGACTAAAATCAGGTCGCTTTATGTGCTGTCAAACCGATCGATAACAAATCATTTTGACCGGTAACATCTGTAGTTTTACACACAACACAATAGTAAGTGTGCTAATGGAATGGTCGTTCATGACATCCGTGTTGACGAAACTGGTTGTTCTAGTAGCTAGATCTGGATCTAGTAGGCGTTGAGTTGACCTTGACCTATGTCTTGTAGGTTAACGAAGTGTTTGGTGACCAAGGTAAGGTTAGGGTTACAGTTAACACGACAACTTCATCCTGAGGATAATGCAACTTTGAACCAAATAGATCTAGTAACTTAACAGATCATTGAGTCAACAACCCAATAGATCTAGTAACTGAACAGATCATTGAGTCAACAACCCGATAGATCTAGTAACTTAACAGATCATTGAGTCAACAACCCAATAGATCTAGTAACTTAACAGATCATTGAGTCAACAACCCAATAGATCTAGTAACTTAACAGATCATTGAGTCAACAACCCAATAGATCTAGTAACTTAATAGATCATTGAGTCAATAACCCAATAGATCTAGTAACTTAACAGATCATTGAGTCAACAACCCAATATTTTCTTTACGAACCGATCACCGGCTTGGATCGAACTCGACAAAAACAATCCCTTGCATTGTATATGGATTCGTGGGCGGCACTCAGGTATGCAAACAGTCGTGACCACATCTGAACCTAGCTATTGAACCAGTGGATCGAGTGACCGCTAGCATAAAATCTTGTTGCATTGTCTTTCCTTTAGAAAATATAAACAAACCAACCCATAGTGAAACTTCGTAAACCTAATTAAACGTGTACCATTTAAACAACTCGATTTTAATTGTAAAAATGTTGAATGAATTTTAATTTTAAATAGATTGAACAAATACATGTTAATTGTCAAATGTTAAATAAATCAATTTAAATTGTAAAAATGTTTAACGCATCAATTTAAATTGTAAAAATGTTTAACGCATCAATTTAAATTGAAAAAAAATCATTTCAGGTTTTTTTGCAATGACAGATTTTAATTGGGTCACATTAGTGACCTTGACACTTGCAGTTCTCGCTGATACAACGGATCAAAAGCTCGAGGAAGAACTGAAATGTCTGCACAAGAAGCCCTCGGACCAGTGTGACATTAGTGTGACATTTCCAGAACCCCTGGGGAGGCTGACATGCGATGACATCGTGTCGGTCAAGGATGGCAAAAATATGTCCAAGCTTCCGGAGTTCAAGGTCATGGGTTCCAACGTAAGTGGATCATATGGCCGAGCTAAAGCCTGGGTCAAGGTCACTACCTGGGTCAAGAAATCTCTACCCTGGTCTAAACGACCCTACCTGGGTCTATAAGTCCCTACCCGGGTCTACACGTCATTTATAGACGACCCCTAATGTAATTTACTCTCTGGTAGTGTTTTATAAGCGAGATCAATCAAAACTAATTTTTTTAGTCCAGTGTCACATGTTTTATTACAAGTTTTTATTTAACTCACTTCCTCTGTCGTCGCTCTGTCGTCAGTCTAGATCGAAACGCAGGAGTGAAAATTTGGAAACTTCTACTTGACCGATACGATTCACATTTGACACGTGGGTTAAGACATGAAGACAATGTAATCTGAAATTAAATTTGACTTAATTGGATGCCTAATTAATTTTTTATGAAATAATTAAAATTTGGACCGAATTAGTAGGCATGTCTAGCCAACCACACCACACGCGTCATCACGTTCAATAGCTGCGCCATCACGGTACGTTCAATAGCTGCGCCATCACGTTCAGTAGGCGCGCAATGGTTTTTAGTCATGTAACTCTATTGTAAATAAAACATGTAAAGTACTGAAAAAAATTCATAAAAAAAATTCATAAAAAACGTTTTAATAACAAGCTTTTATGTAATAATGCACTAAAAAGTAGAAAATAAATTATAGACTACTATTTAAATTACTATAAAGAAAAGCGTGGGTCACTTTAGTACCGATTGGATACCTTTACTAATATTTGAGAAGAGACCTACGCTTTTCTTTATAGTAATTTAAATAGTAGTCTATAATTTATTTTCTACTTTTTAGTGCATTAGTACATAAAAGCTGGATATTAAAACGTTTTTTATGAATTTTTTATTTTAAGGACAGCTCTCTTTAATAAACATTGTCTGAGGGAAGTGATGACAGCACTGTACAGCTTGTGCGTTTGTGTCTCTCTAAAGGACAAACGTATATTTTTATGGGAGAATAAATGTCAAATGTATGTGTTTGTAAAAAAGAAAATAAGCTTATTGTTTGAGTTTGAACGTTAAAACATTCATTGAGATATTAAAAACCATAACCCGGGAGTGATCTCCCCTGAACTTTATCGAATATTCTTATATAACACTACGGGGGATGGCAACGCGGGATATAGACATGATTTTTAATCCATGTTTAAGTACTTAAACTTTTAAAAATAGAATAGAATCGCGTAGAAAACAGCATTGCGCACCAAGTGAACAGCAAACAGTGTGTGTATAATAGTGGGGAATATAAGTACTTTCTAAATTCATTTGCGTTTTTTTTTAGAAATAGAAAATACTACTTCCTGTTACTCAAAATTTGATAGAAAGCAGAGTATTAGATCTTTTACTTGTATGTGAAATACGAGAAAGTAAAAGACACACAATAGTGGCTAAAATTCGGTATAGACAGACAGACAGCCAGCCAGGCAAGCTTAAAGTAACCTAATTTAATACGACAGCCCTCGGGACCAGCCGTCCTTCTGATCTTTGACCCCGACGCTCCGGTCAGCAATGACCCCAGGGATGGATACATCCACTTGATGGCTCAGGCCTCGGTAAGTTCTGACGTCACTCTCATGTCTCAGATAACTCGTTCACCAGGCAAGGAAATAATATTTTATTTAACTGACGCTCTTAAACACACTGACCACCACTACCACCACCACCACACTGACCACCACTACCACCACCACCACACTGACCACCACTACCACACTGACCACCACTACCACACTGACCACCACTACCACACTGACCACCACTACCACACTGACCACCACTACCATACTGACCAGCACTACCACCACTACCACACTGACCAGCACTACCACACTGACCAGCACTACCATACTGACCAGCACTACCACCACTACCACACTGACCACCACTACCACACTGACCACCACTACCACACTGACCACCACTACCACACTGACCACCACTACCACACTGACCACCACTACCACACTGACCACCACCACCACACTGACCACCACTACCACACTGACCACCACTACCACACTGACCACCACTACCACACTGACCACCACTACCACACTGACCACCACTACCACACTGACCACCACTACCACACTGACCACCACTACCACACTGACCACCACTACCACACTGACCACCACTACCACACTGACCACCACTACCACACTGACCACCACTACCACACTGACACCACTACCACATCAATCACACTGACCACCACTACCACACTGACCACCACTACCACACTGACCACCACTACCACACTGACCACCACTACCACACTGACCACCACTACCAAACTGACCACCACTACCACACTGACCACCACTACCACACTGACTACTACTACCACACTGACCACCACTACCACACTGACCACCACTACCACACTGACCACCACACTGACCACCACTACCACACTGACCACCACTACCACACTGACCACCAGCATTACGTTATTATGAGTACTTTTCATTACAGATTGACAAAGAAGGCAAGGTTACGATCACAAAAACTTTTATTCGTAAGTTTATCCCCAATATTTATACAGACACTTTGACATACCAGTATGTCTGGGTCAGTTGTGGGCAGACAGACCAGTATGTCTGGGTCAGTTGTGGGCAGACCAGTATGTGTGGGTCAGTTGTGGACAGACAGACCAGTATGTCTGGGTCAGTTGTGGACAGACAGACCAGTATGTCTGGGTCAGTTGTGGACAGACAGACCAGTATGTCTGGGTCAGTTGTGGGCAGACCAGTATGTGTGGGTCAGTTGTGGACAGACAGACCAGTATGTCTGGGTCAGTTGTGGACAGACCAGTATGTCTGGGTCAGTTGTGGACAGACAGACCAGTATGTCTGGGTCAGTTGTGGGCAGACCAGTATGTGTGGGTCAGTTGTGGACAGACAGACCAGTATGTCTGGGTCAGTTGTGGACAGACCAGTATGTCTGGGTCAGTTGTGGACAGACAGACCAGTATGTCTGGGTCAGTTGTGGACAGACAGACCAGTATGTCTGGGTCAGTTGTGGACAGACCAGTTTGTCTGGGTCAGTTGTGGACAGACAGACCAAAGTGAGCACCGTGCTGACCAGCTGGTTTTACTCACCAGAATACACCCCACCTGCGCCACCTGTGACGAACGCCGCCCACCGCTACCAGGTGTTCGTTTACCCCCTCCCACCTGGCACTAAAATCAAGTCTGGCACTGACCGGAAGTTCCAGCTGTGTCTATTCGTCCTGGCCCACCACCTCGGCCAGCCAACTTCAGCCTTCCAGTTCCGCTACAAGAGCAGCTGACCGTTTGACGTCATTGACCGTCTGATGTCAGTGATCGCCTGGCATCTTTGGTCAGATGTTTAAAACTAGGGACCAGTTAGGGACCAGTTACGTTTCTTTTGATTCGTATTTTTTTTCTATGGACTTGTAGAAATTTTAAATATCTCCGGGAAAAGCTTAAGAACCTTTCAATTCCAAGGCCTATTTATTGTTCTTTTGTTTATTTTTAATTTTTTATAGTGTGTCTTAAATGTCTTTCTAAAATATTAGCAATAAAAATATTTTAGGCAAAACACTCATTACACAGAAACTTTTTGAAATAAATTTTTTCTACAAAAAATAAATAAATCAGGATAAGTATTGCGTCAATTGATTTCATTGTTTCTTTCAGTCCTCTTTCGAAATGTGTTATTTGCTCAAAGTAGCTCAAAGACACAATGAAAATAGTTACCAATAATGTGACACTGAATGAAAATAGCTACCAATAATGTGACACTGAATGAAAATAGTTACCAATCATGTGAGACTGAATGAAAATAGTTACCAATAATGTGACACTGAATGAAAATAGTTACCAATAATGTGACACTGAATGAAAATAGCTACCAATAATGTGACACTGAATGAAAATAGTTACCAATAATGTGACACTGAATGAAAATAGCTACCAATAATGTGACACTGAATGAAAATAGTTACCAATATATATATATATATATATATATATATATATATATATATATATATATATATATATATATATATATATATATATATATATATATATATATATATATGCAACACTCACTCAATGGGGATGCTTATTACCCACTGAGGTGTTGTGTTTAAAAGGGCACACAATGGAACGACGCTGTTGTTGTCAAATACTTGCTTAATTGACAGACATTTCTTTCGGTGGGGGGGGGGGGGGGAATGAAATGCCTGGGAGAAACTCTGGTTCGTGTATGACGTGTAGGAGTTGAGAGGGCAAAGGTTGATTGTGTCGAGCCTAATTCAGGAGATGGACTTTAACGTCACCCGTCTCGGCGTGTCCTTGACCCTACTGGAGCACAGGGTCAGAAGAAACTTCCGGAAAGGCTGGGCAACACGGCAGTAGACGACGAAGTTGAGGCTGGAGTTGATCACCTGACACAGCTCCATTAGTCGGGCACACAGCACGAACAGCTGACTGTACCTGGAGACACAGTACACACGAGACACATCTCAGACAGTTCATCACATCTAAGACACAGAACACATGAGACAAATCGACCCCTGAACGAATGACCCGTGTGATTAACATTGATGTGACCCCTGAACGAATGACCCGTGTGATTAACATTGATGTGACCCCTGAACGAATGACCCGTGTGATTAACATTGATGTGACCCCTGAACGAATGACCCGTGTGATTAACATTGATGTGACCCCTGAACGAATGACCCGTGTGATTAACATTGATGTGACCCCTGAACGAGTGACCCGTGTGATTAACATTGATGTGACCCCTGAACGAATGACCCGTGTGATTAACATTGATGTGCCCCTGAACCCGTTACCTGCCATAATAATCAAACTGGGGCTGGGCAGATCTGGCGATCAAGATAGCGATACCTGGGAGGCTGGTGGCAGAGTAGATAGCACAGACACACACAAGCAGTGATGTGGCTTTTCGCTCCCTCCTCTGGACAATGGCAGCTACTGTGGATTCCTGCGTTTATCAAATATAGTAGGACACTGGGTAGAGTAGGACACTGTGTAGAGTAGGACATTGTGTACAGCAGGACATTGTGTACAGCAGGACATTTTGTACAGTAGGACACTGTGTACAGTAGGACACTGGGTAGAGTAGGACATTGTGTACAGCAGGACATTGTGTACAGCAGGACATTGTGTACAGTAGGACACTGTGTACAGTAGGACACTGGGTAGAGTAGGACACTGTGTACAGTAGGACACTGTACAGTAGGACACTGTGTACAGTAGGACACTTTGTACAGTAGGACACTGTACAGTAGGACACTGGGTACAGTAGGACACTGTGTACAGTAGGACACTGTGTACAGTAGGACACTGTGTACAGTAGGACATTGTACAGTAGGACACTGTGTACAGTAGGACACTGTGTACAGCAGGACATTTTGTACAGTAGGACACTGGGTAGAGTAGGACATAGTGCACAGCAGGACATTTTGTACAGCAGGACATTTTGTACTGTAGGACACTGTGTACAGTAAGACACTGGGTACAGTAGGACACTGTACAGTAGGACACTGTGTACAGTAGGACACTTTGTACAGTAGGACACTGGGTACAGTAGGACACTGTACAGTAGGACACTGTGTACAGTAGGACACTGTGTACAGCAGGACATTTTGTACAGTAGGACACTGGGTAGAGTAGGACATAGTGCACAGCAGGACATTTTGTACAGCAGGACATTTTGTACAGTAGGACACTGGGTACAGTAGGACACTGGGTACAGTAGGACACTGGGTAGAGTAGGACATAGTGCACAGCAAGACACTGGGTACAGTAGGACATTTTGTACAGTAGGACACTGTGTACAGTAGGACACTGTGTACAGTAGGACACTGTGTACAGTAGGACACTGGGTACAGTAGGACACTGTGTACAGTAGGACACTGTGTACAGTAGGACACTGTGTAGAGTAGGACATTGTGTACAGCAGGACATTGTGTACAGCAGGACATTTTGTACAGTAGGACACTGTGTACAGTAGGACACTGGGTACAGTAGGACACTGTGTACAGTAGGACACTGTGTACAGTAAGACACTGGGTACAGTAGGACACTGGGTACAGTAGGACATTATGTACAACAGGACAATGTGTACAGTAGGACATTGTGTACAGTAGGACACTGGGTACAGTAGGACATTGTGTACAGTAGGACACTGTACAGTAGGACACTATGTACAGTAGGACACTGGGTACAGTAGGACACTGTGTACAGTAGGACACTGTGTACAGTAGGACATTGTGTACAGTAGGACACTGTGTAGAGTAGGACACTGTGTACAGTAGGACACTGTGTAGAGTAGGACATTGTGTACAGCAGGACATTGTGTACAGCAGGACATTTTGTACAGTAGGACACTGTGTACAGTAGGACACTGGGTACAGTAGGACACTGTGTACAGTAGGACACTGTGTACAATAGGACACTGGGTACAGTAGGACACTGGGTACAGTAGGACATTATGTACAACAGGACAATGTGTACAGTAGGACATTGTGTACAGTAGGACACTGGGTACAGTAGGACATTGGGTACAGTAGGACATTGTGTACAGTAGGACACTGTACAGTAGGACACTATGTACAGTAGGACACTGGGTACAGTAGGACAGTGGGTACAGTAGGACACTGTGTACAGTAGGACACTGTGTACAGTAGGACACTGTACAGTAGGACACTGTGTACAGTAGGACACTTTGTACAGTAGGACACTGTACAGTAGGACACTGGGTACAGTAGGACACTGGGTACAGTAGGACACTGTGTACAGTAGGACATTGTGTACAGCAGGACATTTGTACAGTAGGACACTGGGTACAGTAGGACACTGTGTACAGTAGGACAATGTGTACAGTAGGACACTGTGTACAGTAGGACAATGTGTACAGTAGGACACTGGGTACAGTAGGACACTGTAAAAGTAGGTTTAAAAAATCATATTGTAGACCGTGTATAAGATATATCAAAATTTATACACCAAAATTAAAATAATCTAAATAATTGTTTCAGTCATAATAGTGTTATCACTGGTCACTCTAACAATCTTTTCATTACCCCCCCCCCCAACCCTACAGAGAAGCCTGGGAGAGACTCTGATCAACCTCCCCCCCCCCAACCCTACAGAGAAGCCTGGGAGAGACTCTGATCAACCTCCCCCCCCAACCCTACAGAGAAGCCTGGGAGAGACTCTGATCAACCTCCCCCCCCCCCCCCCGTACTTAACCACTAGCCATAGGTGGCCTCTGTTACCCTGCGCAGGTTCGATGACGTAGTACACCTGATCTTGTAGACAGTGCCGCAGGTGGTTACCATGACAACAGCAACTGGCATCAAGTACAGAACCAGGTTGATGACCAAATTTTTCCAAGAGTCGAACCAAACTTGATTTGCCAGGTAGAAATGTGTCGGGACCATGACAGGAGACGATTGGTTGTCTTCCCTTGGGTTCAACATTTTTAGAAAGTCAGTTGTTTAAATAGTCTCACGATCAATACAACAATTCTGTCATAAGTTGCACTAAAAATACATTTCCTTCATACGTTGCACTATAAATACAACATTTCTGTCAGTACTTGCAGTGGCGTAGCGAGGTCGGGTGTCACCCGGTGCGGCACTTAATGGTGTCACCCCCCCCCCAGAGGCGTAGCGACCCTTCCCGGGGACAAACTTTCCAATTTTCGATTTGCACCCCCATCAAACTTTTGATTTGTACCCCCCCTCAAGTTTTCCTCTATATATTTTGCTATTTTTTGCCTTGGTGTCACCCCCCTAAATGGTGTCACCCGGTGCGGTCCGCACCCCCCGCCCCCCCCCCCTCGCTACGCCCCTGAGTACTTGCACTATAAATACAACATTTCTGTCATTAGTTGCAATATAAATACAACATTCCTGTCATTAGTTGCACTAAAAATACAACATTTATGTCATTAATTGCACTATACATACATTGGGGTCATCCATAAATGACGTCACGCTTTTTTGGACGATTTTTACCTCCCCCCCTCCCCTCCGTCACACGTCGTCACAAAAAGCCAGACCCCCCCCCCCCTAAAATGACGTCACACCTCAACCTACAACCCCCCTCAAAATTGCAGTTGAATTTTTTTTAAACATCGATAGTTTTCCAAAATCTTGTCTAAACTATTACAATTTATTAAAACAGTTGTCTAAAACGCGAAATAACGTCTAAAATTCGTTTTCTAACATTGCTTTTTTATAATGCAAAAATGTGACGTCGCAACATCTGACCCCCCCCCCCCCTCCCCCTCATCACACATCGTCACAAAATTACGGACCCCCCTCCCCCCTACGAGTGTGACGTCATTTATGGATGACCCCATTTATGTAATTAGTTGCACTATACATACAACATTTATGTCATTAGTTGCACTACACATACAACGTTTCTGCCATACTTTGCACTATAAATACTTCTGATCACCCACAAAGACTCGATTGAGTGCCCATTTGAGAGAGTACCCACTTATGTACCATTAGAGTGAGTACCCAATGGACTGAGTACCATTAGAGTGAGTACCCAATGGACTGAGTACCATTAGAGTGAGTACCATTAGAGTGAGTACCATTAGAGTGAGTACC